TAAAAAAAAAAAAAAAAAAAAAGAGGCTGAAATACATGTCTCAGAAAGTTGGAAGTACTTCAGATATTACATCAAAACATTTTTTAAATCATTAAGAAGAATTCATGTTACCTAAACAGTCTATAAAACAAAAATTTCAGACCATCCAGATGAGCCTGTCTGTGGCAGGCACCTGTTTCCATTATGGACCAAATACTTATTTATTTATTTTTTAATTTCCTTTTATTTTATTTTTTATTTCAATAGTTTTTGGGGAAACAGGTGGTATTTGGTTACATGGACAAGTTCTCTGGCACTGATTTCTGAGATTATGGTGTACCCATCACATGAATAGTGTACACTGTACCCCAATGCATAGTCTTTTATCCCTCACCACCACCCCCCACCCTCCCTGACCCTTTTCCCTGAGTCCTTAAAGTCCATTGCATCATTCTTATGCCTTTGCTGGACCAAATACTTCTTTCTAGCCAAAAAAACTCAAAGTAGAAAAAGATAACTCTCAAATTATCAATGACATCTAGTTCATATTTTATTTTTATGTAATAGTTACAATTTTTATTTTTGAGGCAGGGTCCCGCTCTGTTGCCCAGGCTGTAGTACAATGGCACGATTACAGCTCACTGCAGGCTCAATCACCCAGGCTCCAGTGATCCTCTCGCCCTGATACTGTGCTTACCTCACCTCTCCTTTGGCTTATGAAAACCACAACCTTAGTACAGGGTAAAATGAACAGCTGGAAAAAACTGACTCTAACATGTTTATAAAAACTCATTTTTGTTTTCAACAAACATCATTTGAGTGTCTGATATATATTATACTATTGTAGGCACTACAGAATCAAACAACATTATTTTTAAGGTATACGTCCTATTCCAAATCCTTTGAAAAACAATCAGGATACATATAAGTAACTTCATGTAACATGAGACTGACATGAGACAGAGATATGAACCATCCAGTTTGGGAGTATATCCTAATTTAAAAATCTAAATACATTAAGGAATTAAAATGTTTACCTCTGCACATAGGTAAAATTTGTTATATAACTGGTCTACATTCAAATATTGACAAGCCTTTTTTTTTTTTTAAGAATTAAAGTAATATTAATTAACCATACTGAAAAGAAAATAGCATTTTACATACTTTAATCTTGAAATCTAAGATAAACTAAATCAAACAATGAATAAATGTTCTGCAAACTTGCATGCTTGCCTCCTTAATAAAAAAAATATATATTTTTTAAAATAGAAATTATTCTGAATAGAAATGTAAGATCCAACTTCCTCTGATTTTATGACTGACTAATTAACAGCAGTTTGAGTCTAACATGATCACAAGTATACTGCAAAACAGTCTCATTAACTATTGAACTTTTTGAACAGTATCCACTAACTAATCTATATAGATGAATAAGCATGTAATCAGAATTGATAATCTAAAGTAACCGTAGTTTAGCTGTTACTTTGCACTAAATTTAACCGTCTTAAAATTCTGTTTCTAATATAAGAAAGTTTTAAAAATTATTTCCCTTATAACACAGTGAAATAGAATTGTTCAATGTATGATATAGGTTTCTATAAAACTTCACATAAAGATCTTAGATCAGACACAGAGCACAAGATTCACTCAATTCAATGGTAACATAAAATACAATATTTATATGATCATGTATTATAAGACACAGTCCTTCCAGTGTAGACATTCTGAAGGATACAATAGATAAGAAAGGCCAAGGAGCTTATGATCTTGTAGGAGGGGCTTATAAAGACTTCCACAATTAAACACATTAGACTGTAAGTTCCCAAGAAAGAGAGAAAGTACAAGAGAATTAGAGAGGGAGAGAAAGAGGGAGAAGTGGAGGAGGAAGAAGGGGAGGAGGGGAGAACACAGGGGAGGAGACAGAGAACATTAAACTGCATGGCCTCCTTTCTCTTTACAAGGCAAAGAAATTATTCTGATTACATTAAGGAGAAGGCCTCAATTCTGTGCTAATGATTTTTAACACATCTCCGCAACATCTGTTGTGAGCAAGAGGAAGAGATCAAAAGTATTGAAGTCGTGAATAAGAAAGATTTCGTAAATATGGTCAAGTAACAAATGACTGGCACACATAGTAAGTGCTAACAGGAGATCTTGAATAGGAAATAATCACTGCGGCACAGGGTGCTGAAGAATGAAAGTGGGAAAACGGGGACTTGAATTTGGCTTTGGTAGATGAATAGAATTTCATCAAGTTAAAAATTACTTTCGGGTATGATTCAAATATTAAGAACCTGAATTTCCCTATTTCTTTTATCACAGACTTTAGATTGTAAGTCAGTGCAGTAGCTGAAAATACTATACAGTCAGAATTACCTTTAAAATTTTTCTAAACTGTTCATGAAGCAAAACAAATTTGATGATATCATGCAATCACTCATAGTCTACAACAACATAGAGACAGCAGTATGAGGAGACAAGAGAAATAAGAAGCCTGAATCCAGAGGCTTTCAGGATCCACTAGACTTTAAGAGAAGACGGGAGGAAGGGCTAGAAGAGGTAGGGAGCTCGCTAAGGAAGCTACCATAAAGTTCAAGGGAAAAACAGGGGATTCTCAGTTGAAGCATTATGAACCTAACAGGTGAGTCCTCAGAACATCAAGGAAAGAGCAGAGTGTCACCTAAAGTAAGAATGAGCATCAACCCAGCTAGTGGACCTGTTGTGGCTAACAGAAAGGAGAGAAATGGAAGCAGACCAAAGAGTTGGCTGGGAAAGCCAAGCCACTGAGTGTGAAGGGCATGCTAAATGAAGTCACGCACTCCCAGGCTGGTGGGGAACATGCCACAGGAGACCCATCAGGACCACATGAGGGATGCGTGGAGAAGCAGAGGCTAAGAGGAACTGAAAGAGGATTCTGAGAAAGGCTATACATTTCTCCCTTTGAGTAAAAGGCCTTAATCTAAAGATCTGAGTGCTCTTGTCTAACACGGCTCTGTTAAGAGCCAGTTTTGCACAAGGTCTCCTTTCTTTTATTACGTCCCCAGCTCCTAACATAGAATCTGCCCGCTACTGGGTCTTCAACAAATTAACTGTTTAAGTAACAATGGACCAGTGAGTACAAGTCCCAAAAGGGCTGATTTAAGAACAATATACAAGGGTTACTGACAGATGGAACTACCTTAAGAAACTGTGAGCCCCATGCTAAAAGAGACACACACCAAGCAGAGGCTGGATGTCTACCTGGCAGAGAGGTGGGTGAGTGTCTTCTCACACTTGACAGAGGCTGGAAAAGATGACAGCAGAGGCTGCCTTACTCTACAAGTTTATCAGTTCAGCTTAATAAGCACCTACCACAGGGCCTACTGTCAAGGAGCCTGCAATCTACTGCTTCTCTTTAAAGAAGGAACTTTAGGGGTACACAGCTGGTAGAGGAGAGGAAGGGAGGAGTGCCTACAGTTATAATCAAATAAAAACACAGTTCCCCCTTTACTGACTCCATGGCCCAAAAAGTGATGACTTGGTTGTAAATATATGCAGTTGAAAAGAAAAGGAAGTTGAGTAGTTTGCTCACCTGCCAAGTTTACTCACAGGCAAAACAATTTTGAAAGCAGATGGAATTACTGTTCCCTGTTACTGCCCTGACCTCACCTCCTATAATCCTCCCCTTCTGATACCTGCCCCACTCACTCTAGATTCTTTGCCTTGGCACTTGCAGTTCCTGCCAAGCACACTCTTTCCCAGATATCGGCATAGTTAACTATCACATCTTCAAGTCTCTGCTCAAATGGGTATCTTTTCAATGGGCCCTACTAACCCCTCTATTAAAAACTGCAACCCCTGAATGTTGAGCCCAACTACCCTAATTCTATTTCTTTTCTCCATAGCACAAGTCTATTACTTAACATTCTAACATACTATACAACTTACTTATCAAGTTTATAATTTAGTCTCCTTCCCACAACAACTATAATGTAAACTCCATGAAAACAAGGATTTGTTTTATTCACTATTTTGTTCAAAGTTCTTAGAACAATCATTAGAACTCAATATGCATTTGTTGAATAAATGAATGTACACTAAAGTACAGCAAAGAATAAAGAGCCCATCTATTCATAAGAAATATGCAACAAAAGGCTCACATTGTAAACAGATAGGCAGAAATTTCCCTGCAGTGTCTGATCACTCACATGATTTATGCAGGCACTGATGCATGCATGCGCATGTACACACACACACACACACACACACACACACACACACCTGTATGTTCTCTCAACTGCCCTCTTGCACACTATTGCTTCCATATAGCTAAGAATCTACATTTAAAATTATTTAAGTTGGATGTATTAGGTTGGTGCAAAAGTAACTGTGGTTTTTAAAACTGCAAAAACTGCAATTACTTTTGTACCAGCCTAAGTGCCACTCTACTGTCTGGCTCTACTGTCCTAATTACGTAAATGCATTTGTATTTAAAGAATAGGTAGTCAACTATAAGCTTACATCCTCTATTTTAAGTTTCGAACACTTACTTTTATCTGTGCCACACTACTTTTCATTTCTGTTGCTGGTTGGTCCAATAAATCAAAGACTCCTCCAACTGGTCCAAATAACAAGTACTCAATGCTCTGAATTCCTTGACAGTGTACTTTTTCTGTCTGCAAATATCACCTATATAATATACCAAAGACAGCTTTGTTAACACCAATAAAGTGTGTAAAATGAGACATATTTTTTCTACAAAATGAACATTTAACCCCCTTATTTTTCTTAATCCATAAACAAATATAATAACTAAATAAAAATTTTAAAAATCCTTAAGTAGTTACACATAATAATGTATACCTAACATATACTAGTAGAAAAAAAAATCCATGAATGAGAGAGCAAGCAGAAGGTCATATTCTAAGGACTAAGAGGAACAAAAGTTAATTTAAAAAGAGATAGCCTATAACTTTTTTATTGAAAATGTTCTCACAGTGAGGAAGATATACACCTACATCATAAGATAGTATTGGGATATTATTTTTAAAAAATTGAGAAAACAATGACAGAAGAGAAATTATATAAACTCAGCATAAAAATCCAATGTTTCTATATAGACTAAGAATGAAATGCCCTACCTATATCCTTGCAATAATAATAATTAAGAAAGAAATATAATCCACATAGAAATTTAAGGTGCTAAACTACAACAATTATGTTTCAATGTGATCTATTAATGGCACAAAGCTTCAGATATATGCACATATAAGAACTAAGTATCTGGCTCAGAATAAACCTAGTCTTCAGCGTTAAACCTAAAATCTTTAGCTGTCTTTTAATATTCTCCTAAGTAAATTTTAGTAATTTCTGCAAGATTCTAAATTGATACTTATGTTCACAAAGAACTTCCATTTGAGTATTTTATTGGAAGTACGTATCTCTATGGTTTATAGTTTAAGGCAATAAAATCCCAAAAATAAAATAGAAAAAAAAAGGATTAAAAGACATAGAGCCTGCAGAGAAAGTAATGTACTTAGTACCAAAATAACTGAATACAACTAGAAAAAAATTAATTTCAGTGTTAGAAAGGGTATAACAGATTATCTGGTCCAATTCCTTCTTTTTAAAGAGAACACTGAAAGCCAGATAAGCTATTCCAATTATAATCATAATAGCTAAATTATAATACCAGTTAGACTTACAACTAGAAACCTATCATAAGGACACCCTGTTAAGTATTCCTCTCACTAGAACACATATAGAAATAGTCTTTACATTACAAAGTGATACAGAGCTGCTACCATTTGATGCAGACAGGGATGTATACAAATTACTAAGTCAAGTAATGTTTCTATTACAATGGTTGGCATGGTGTCAAGGTTAGTAAAGGCAAACTTACCATTCTATAAAATATAACTACAATCTAAAGCACATCACTGCTTATGTGTGAAGCCTACAGTTAAGCAGATAAATGTGTGTAACTTTACACAACATGCTGATTAACAGGCTCTTTCTTCAATTATTATTGCAGTAGATTGGAAAGCTCAGCCTTGTCTTTAGCTGGCAAGTTCTCCCCAAATCTTTCCTTATATATATTTTTAAAGATTACTCTGGTCCTAAACCTGATGCCATATAACAGACCAGTCTATCTAGGACCTTACCAGGCTCACAACTATGATATTACTGTTTGAACTCAGTTTCAGAGTAACTTTTCCTACTGGATGCTGTAACTTAGATAACTAATTGAGAAAGTCCAGAATAAGTTGTGTAAAACATTTCATAAAATCAGACTCTGACAGTAGCAGAGAGGAGAGGCATGCCCCTCTACCTTAAACAGTCTATTCTGATATCACACATGAGTTACTATCTTAATAACTCTATATTATCCAAAGTTAAATAATAAATGTGTTTCAAAGGGGAAAGAGACTCAGAGTTTCATACACACAATAATTACATTATTTTCCTGTAAGAACTTAAATAACAAGGGTGTTTTGGTTCCCAGTGCCACTGGGTAGTCTGTGAGGCACCTCTGAACAAATTTTTTAAAAGGGTAACTGAACATCCACTTCTGAAATGGCTAGGAAGTTCCTACTGAGCCCAATCCTTTCAGAGACAACAACCATAAACTCCTGACAAAACACACAACAACCACCTGAAGGCACTGGAGAATCAACAAAAACAGGCTGAGTCTAAGGAGAGTAGATGTCCTGGAGAAAGGAGCAACCTGAGTGAGTTATTCCACTTAATACAGCTTTAGTCTGAGGGCAAGCTGCAGTCTGTACAATGCAAGAGTGGCTAAAACGGATGAAAAGCTACAGCCATTCTCATTTGAAGAACAGAAGGACAGAGTCTGAGGCAACCACAGCTGCTGGAAACTGAGGGGGAATCCAGGAGGGGAGACAGTGAGTGATGGGAAGCCCCATATGCTGGGTATAAATTGTTCCCACATCTCTAACTACCTCTGAACCAACACATGTACAAGACAGATGCCTGCCAACAACTGAACTAAGACTTGAACTGCTGTTCAAGAGACTAGAGTGTGCAATTTAAGTCCAACCAAGTTAGTTGCCCAAAAAGTCACCACTCCTTAGAGGAATGTAAGGGAACCAAAGTCTCTGTAACATAAAAATAACAACATCCAGGAGACAATTAAAAATAACATTTAAAAATTGTGGTCCAATCTTAAGGGAAAACATGATTAAAACTGATCAATGCTGAGATGACCCAGATCCTGGAATTAGCATATAAGATTTTTAAAGCAGGGTTTTTAAGACATATGGAAAAATGCAAAGGAAAATATGCCTGGGAAATTTCAGCCTAGAGAAATGATAAAATAGAATCAAACAGAAATTTTAAAACTGAAAAATATATGAAATAAAAAACTCACTGAATATGCTTAACAGTAGAATGATTAATGGTTAATAATAAAACTAACGAAAGCCAAGGATAAAGAGAAAAATCCTGAGAGCAGCAAAAGAAAAAAACAGCATATTATATACAGAAAATAACAATTCAAACTACTGCTGACGTCTCATCAGAAACTATATAGACCATGTCCTCACCCATATGCAGAAGCTAAAAAAGTGGATTCATGAAGATAAAGTAGACTGGTGGTGATCAGAGGCCAGAAACAGGAGTGGGATGTAGAGGATGAAGAGGAACATGAATGTATTTATTACCACGGAATTGTACACTTAAACATGGTAAGGATGGTAAATTATATATATATAAATTTTAAAAATTTATATTTATATATATAATTTATATATATATATATATATATGTAAACTTGAAAAAGAAACTATAGAGACTGGAAAATGGTGAAACAATTTTTAAAAGTGTTAAAAGATAAAAACCAGTTAACCTATAAATCCAGCAAAAACAATCTTTAAAGGAAGAAACAAGGAAGACATTTACTGATTAAACATACCAACAAAATAACTAAGAGAAATTAAGATAATTTATCACCAGCAGACCTGCACTACAAAAACAAAACAAAACAAAACAAAACAAAACAAAACGCTAAAATAAGTTATTCAAGCTAAAGGGAAATGATACTAGATGGAAACTTTTTCAGAAAGAAATGAAGAATACTGGAAATGATACCTTTCTCCGGAAATACAAAAGACTCTGTTTTATTTTAATTTATCTAAAACACACAGGACTCTTCCAGCAAAAAATATGTCTTGAGGGATTAGAATATATGTAGCTGGAGTACATATATATATACACAGAAAATAACAATTCAAACTACTGCTGACGTCATATATATATATACCACATATATATATATGTGGTATACAGAATTAGCAGTCAAAATGGAGTTACGCTATGCAAGGTTTCTACATCTTTTGTGAGGTGATACAATATTGACTTTAAGTAGCACATGACAAGTTAAGGATATATATACTGTTCCCTAGAGTAATGACTAAAAAAAAAAAAAATGTACAAAATATAGTGTAAAAGCCTACAAATTAAAATACAATTTTTAAAAATATTTAAAACAGAGGCTACCCCTCTCTCACCTCAGGAGGAGATCCCTATAGGGATAACCCTTAGCTGGATTCAACAAGATGACTCTGTTGAAACCAAATTGCATGACTCTTTCCAAAGGTCCTGCTTTTATGGCTATAAAGGTATAGAGAGCCATAAAATTCAAAACTTTACTCAACTTACTTTTGCTCAAAGATATTGGTATTTTTTCCCCACCTCTACTAGCACAACCATTTATCATTTCTAATATATCCTTTATTACCTTTAAACCCAGTATTACCTATACATACATTTGTTCCCCAACAAATAATACAGCATTTCTATTATTTGCCCAGCATCTTTCTAGGCATTGGATAGGCAACAACGAACTACCCTAACGAAATCTCCTATTCACATGAAGTATTGAAGCAAGTCTATAATAAGGAAAACACTAAGCCACTCAAACAAGGTAACAGGTTGGGCTTTTTTCCTACATGTCAGTTTTAAATCACTACTTAACAGTATATAACTATAGTTAGATATCACTATATTAAAAACGACCTGAATCATGGACACATGCATGAGAGGAGAATTACTTGTATATGCATTGGGGCCCACCTCTGACTTACTGAATCAGAAAATGGGCAGAAACTGTAAGGAAAAGACCTGTGCATACTTGCTTTCTGAAAGTATTCCCAAGGTAATTCTAAAATCCAACTTTTCCCTGAGTCTCCTCAGCTTTTCAATTCTACATAAGAAAGTTTGGTTCTTAATTTGTTCTCAAATCATGAGCCACTTAGCCAGAATATGGAGACCCCACAGCCTATCTACTTTATAGTGAAGAACTTAGTCGTAAATCAATTGGAAAGGGACACAGAAATTCCAAATATATTAATTCTTAATAATTCACATGTAAGAAGTGCTTTTTAAACCTGAGAAATTATGGGCACAATTTATAATCACTTACACAATCTTATTCAATCTTCATAATTACCCAGCTCTGGTGATTTTTTTTAGCCATGTTTTTCAATGGGACAACTGAAGTATAGCAAATTCAAGCAATCTGTCCAAGTAAATTATACCTAGTAAATGGCAGAAGCTAAAATTCAAAGTCAGGTTTATCTGATGCCAAAGCCATATAATATCATGTCCCAATGAAAACACCAATGCTAATGAAGTTAAAATGGTACATTATAAAATGTAAACAAGTACAG